GCATGTTTTTGGGCCATATTTCTATTGGTATTGGTTCCATTCCATAATTTTGACATGAAATGATGATTTTACCCTTATTAACCCTAGGGCCCAAGAGAGCCTGAATTCAAGGTTTTCACCCTTTCATGGTCCGGTTTGGTTAGAAAACATTTGGTATGCCATCATTATGACCCCTAACACATAATAAGGTGCATAATGACTATTTTTTCCCTTGTGTGTTCCCGGGTCGGGTTGGAACCCCGTTAGGGATCTGAACCCCTGGGTTTAGGTCGTTACAGATTTGGTATCTAAGCTTTAGGTTCAAATACCTTTCGAACGACGGATAGTGGCTTACCTAGATGGGGTAGAAGGTTGACTTGCAATGACTGCATGTTTTGTGTTTACGTGTTTATTGTTTTAAGAAACATGCTTACTTGTTACTTACTTATGTGCTTACGGCTTTGAAAGATATACTTGCTTGCTAAGTGTTCACATGTTTACGTATTTAAATGTTAAAATATGTGTTACATGGCCATGTAAATGAAATGCGCATATAATTATTAGCATGTATATAAAATGCTTAAGTGTGAAAGGTCTATGTGATTAAAGAAGGAAGGTTTGATAGACTATGTGACTGGTTGTTAAACTAATTATTAAAATGAAAGCATGTTTCCGTGGTGATATGACTAGTATGATGTATATGGTAGTGGCAAGTGGTACGCACAACTCGTGCAATTATATTTTAAATGATAATGTGACGGATAGTCGGGCATGGTTTATGCAAGTATGTTTTTATATATGAAAGGATGATGACTAGAAAGAAGGTAAAATGTTAAAATAAAGCAGCTTTAATTTCCTCTTCAACTCCCTCTGCTATCAAAAGTTTATTGTCCTCCTCTGAAACAAGAACGGGAATGTGACTGATAAAACTTGCAAAATCAGAGCACCCATTAGAGGAGTACAATTCCTTAAATTAATAATCAACTTAGCTAGTAATTGAATTGTTATCGTCACACCATGACCCATTAGAATTTTTGAACCCCACAATTGCATTTGTTTTATGGTGCTATTGTGTTTTAGAATAGAAATAACGAGTATTTCTATCACATTCCCTTAACCAAATTTCCCTCGCCTTTTGCTTCTAATACAATTCTTCACGCTTCCACAAATTGTGAATTATATCTTCAATAACTTTGACCTTGAAGCCATCAAAGTTCACGTCCTCCTTTAAAGACTTTAATTCTATTTATATTTCCTTAATAAGCCTCTTGGAGTTTCTGGTTTTAGATCGGCTCCAATTTTCTAGGCTATTTTACAGTTAGAAATATTACTTTTCAACTTAAACATCAAAGTCCTTTCATCTTTACATTGCCAACCTTGATCAATTATAGCACTACATTCAGTATCTTCCACCCAGTGAGCGTCAAAAATGAAATTCGTTCTTTTTTTGTGCTTCAATATCTAATGAATGGTAGCTTCGTCATAGTTACCTACCCATGCAAGATCTCCCAAGACCGTATCAAGTCTCTATCTAATGTTGGCCTCCCTTGACTTATTGTTCATCCGGGTGAAAGGATAACCCTGAATCCTAATTCCATTAATTGACACTCATCAATGAATTTGCTGAAAGCTTTGAGGGACCATCGAGATTGGTATCTGCCACCACCTTCTCACCTTTATTTCCGATGTCATTAAAATCTCCCACAATGAGACGCATATTATCTTCAATTGATAGGGCATACTTAATGAACTCCCAATGAGCTATATGGCAAGAGTTGTTCAAGGATGCGTAATTTTTTTTTTCTTAGTTGGTATTTACACACATATGCTTGTACTAAGGCTTGAACCCTTGGCCTCCCTTTAGGAAGTAAATGCTTGATACCGTTAGGCCACTAGCCCGTTGGTGAGGATGCATAAATTCCATCCAAAACCCTACTAAGATTTTTAACGTCATCAACTATTGAAGCTAAAATGCAGAAAGTTTAAGCCTTTCAATAATCACCTTTATTTTTATCTTTTCACATGAGCACTATATCACTTGCTATTTCCACCAGATCAATATAGAAAAAAGTCATAGCCTACATGTCTTCTAACTTGATCGAGAAACCCAAATTGATTTTTTATCTTCATCAAAAAATGAATATGTGGGGAATATGCTTACTCAAACCTTTTAAGCTGTCAAATCGTCAGGGAGTTCTCCAAACTAACAATTCCAAGAGATAATTCTCATTTGGAAACTTGGGATGATTTAGGGCTGGTTTCGTCCACTTATGAGAAATCAACAATTTAATCTTCAAACATGTTGTTCGTAAATCCATCCAACTTACAACAATGTCTAGTTTAAACTTTTGATATGTAAAAAAAAAAAAAATTTAAAATTGATATTACAAATATATAGTAAATTATAAAATATTACCAATTAATTAATCTCTTTTATGTTTTACGGTTGGAAGGAGGATGATGGGAGATACTTTCATTGTTTGGTTGGAAGGAAAAAAATGGATGAATGATGGGAGATGCTTTCATTGTTTGGTTGGTAGAAAAAAATGGAGGAACACAAAGGATGGATGAGATGGGATCGTCCTATTTTTATTCCTACAAAAATGAACAGAAGAGTTGAGGAAAAGAAAGAATGATTGTTGTATAAATATCAAATAACATATTTAACCTTCAATTATCTACTAAATTAGATTATTGTAGTGCCATAATGATAAAAATTAATAATATATGTTCAAGGTAAATTCTATTCATCCCTCCTACTGAACCAAGGAAAGGCTCATATCATTCCCTTCCCTTGCACTGAATAGAACAAAAGAATGCATAAGCACTCTCCCTTTCCTAGGGAAGGCAAATTATACTTTTAGGAGAAGTCAAAGTAATAAAGGCCAAATGCTCTATTCATGTGTAATTTGCCTAAATTTTAGGGGAGGTAAGTGTAATTTACCCTAAAAGCAAAACATGTGGACTTTTAAAAAGAAATTTTAATTTTTTTTTTTTTTTTGAGTCATTAATATAAGGGTGAGCCCATTTTCAATTTTTTTTGCCAAAAGCTCCCCTTAACCATCCAAGAGGGTGTGACTTAGCAAACATACGTTAGCTGAAAGGAAACTAAAATAAAAATTAACTTAAATACCCATTAGGCCTATTTAAAAATCTACTTTGTAGGCACGTCTTGATTTTTTTTATTTATTAAATAACCTAAACGATATCATTCATAGAAATTAACACTTCTATTATTATTATTTTTAATATATTAAAATTTTACTAGATTGTCAAGTTCACATTAGTCACATGGAAGGAATAGTTTTTATTTTATTTTATTTTTTGTATAGAAAAAAACTATTTTGAAATATATAAAAAAAGAAGAAAAACATTTAGGCATAAATAATATAAAAAAGGAAAAAATTTAGGCATTATTTCTCGTGGTGTTCCTTTAACAAATTTGTATAAAATGAAAATTAATAAAAACTAAAGATATGAATGCACAATATAATTCTAAAATATATATATATATATATATATAAATTTCAAGGAAAACTCAAATTTATATAGGTTTGAAAGTTGGATGGAAATGCAAATATAGTATAAATAATACTTAATGATACATATTATATATATCATTATATTATGATACATATTATATATAATATTATAATGGTATATATAATAATATATATGATGTCTAAGTCACACAATCCTTCTCAACGAGTGTCGCTCCCACGCTCCGCGCGCGCTTGTTATTTATGACTTAAATCTGCCGCTTTCACGTTCCGCTATCGCTCCCACTCCCATTTTATGTGACTTAGTATGATGTGTAAAAAAAAATAGTTGTGTATGAAGAAAAGTATGTACTACTATAATAGTGGAGGATACGTGGTTAAAAGTGATAATAGAATAGATATATATATGGAAATTTATTAAAATAGGTATAGGGATATTTTTATTTCAAAAATATATGAGAAAACCCAATGTCTAAATAATCATTTCAGTTAACTTCTGTCAGTTACATCACTCAGGCTCACATAGTTGATGAATTTTTTTTTTGCAAAATAATAAAAAATGAAAATTTAGTGCAAAATACATATGGAAATGGGTTTAATGCAATTCACCCTTAATATAAATAAAAATTTATAACAAAATAAACTAAAAACATAAACTTATAACGTAATTATTGTTGCTTAAATTTATATATCAAGTACACATCAAAATGAAAATTAAACCGACTATTAACAACAAAATAATATTAAATTCATGGAAAATCAAGTTAAGAAACGCACCGCAGCTAGGAAAACACCAAAAAATTCAGTAGAATGATGCAGAGAAGGGGGGGGGGTGGGGGTGGGTTTTGGCAGTTCCTAAAGTGGGGACAGGGGTTGTGCATGGGGCGTGACCGGCACGTGGAGGTGCGTAGAATGCCGTTACGAGTTGCCGTTTAGGGTCAGTTTACAGCCTGGACTGACACAATACTAGTACCCATCTTACCCCGATTCTGCTACGCCTCTTTTGTCCTCTTCCCCACCTCAGCATCTACCCCACCCCCTTCTTTATTATTATATCTATATATATATATATATATATATATGCTCTCCAGCCTGGCTCAGTCAAACTCCATGCGCTCCTTCAACCATCACAAGTCCCAAGTCACACACAACCATACACACACAGTCACACACTGACTCTTCTATTTTTTCAAATATCTCACGATAAATATATCGTACACTAATAACTTCCAAAACGGTCGGCTATTCCTTGCGATGGTTATAGTTAAATAAAGAGATTTGGTTTTGAATTCGATTTCGCAACTTCGCTTTTTTTTTTTACCAAAAAAAAAAAAATTCGAAAAAAACCCCGAGAATTTCGAAAGTGTGATTTATGTAGGTGTACAGTAGGTGACTCCTCCAGCCGACGCGTGTCCTTTGACAGCTGTATGCTAGTAACTGCCTTGCCTAGAAGCAGCGTCCTCTCGCAACGGCTCATAACCGGTCACTCCCACCGCCTCTTCCGGTCATCCCTATCCCCTCTCTCTCTATATTATATATATACATGTATATATATAGAGAGAGAGCTTCTCCACTCGTGTCGTCCCTCTCTCAAAGCGAGGCTAAGCCTCCTCCGCCACAACCACCAATACCAGTCCACCGTTCCAAAACTGTAAATTTTGTTTATTTGATTAGGTTTTAGTGTTTTTTTTCTTTTCTTTCTGTATCTATGGCGACAGTGTCGAGGAAGGAAATGGATCGTATCAAGGGTCCGTGGAGTCCAGAAGAAGACGAACTGTTGCAGACGCTGGTTGAGAAGCATGGACCCAGGAACTGGTCGCTCATCAGCAAATCGATTCCGGGTCGATCGGGGAAGTCGTGCCGTCTGCGGTGGTGCAACCAGCTGTCGCCGCAGGTGGAGCACCGCGCGTTCTCGCCGGAGGAGGATGAGACCATCATCAGAGCGCATGCCAAGTTCGGGAACAAGTGGGCCACCATCGCTCGTCTTCTCAATGGTCGGACCGATAACGCCATTAAGAACCACTGGAATTCGACTCTCAAAAGGAAATGCTCGTCCATGTCCGATGACTTCCCGTTCATCGACGAACATGAACAACCGTCTCTGAAGAGATCGGCGAGCCTCGGCCCGGGCACGAACGTTTCCGGTATGTATATCAATAACCCGAACAGCCCGTCCGGATCCGATTTGAGTGATTCGAGCCTCTCCGGCATTCCTTCGTCGCATGTTTTCAGACCCGTGCCAAGAGCTGTCGGGGTAGCACCACCGATGCCGCAGATCGAGAAGTCGTCGTCGTCGACCACCGACCCGGCTACCTCTCTGAGCCTGTCCCTGCCCGGATCCGATTCGTGTGAGGTCTCGAATCAAGGATTCGGATCCCATCAAGTCACGCAGCCTACCCAGTTGGCTCCTCCACCGCCACCACCATCACCGCCTGTGATCGTACACCAGTTGGCCCCGCCACCGTCAGCGACACTGATGGTGGCTCACAGCGGTCAAAACTTCGAATTTGGAGCTCCGACGGCTGAGAAACAGTTCTTCAGTCAAGAATTCTTGTGTGTGATGCAAGAGATGGTCCGAAAGGAAGTGAGGAACTACATGTCTGAGATTGAACAGAATGGGCTTCGTTTGCATGCTGAAGCAATCAGGAACGCAGTGGTGAAGCGAATTGGGATTAGCAAGATCGAGTAGTTTTCGAGTCTGAAGAGACTCTGATGAAATAGTTGGGGACTTAGTGATCGGAGTTCAAATGAAGGGTCAAGAAACGATCTTCGTTTTTTTCACAATTCCCTTCTCCTTTTTTATACAAAAATAATTCTGGTTAGTGTACAGGTGAGGGGGGAGAGAGATGAGTTGAAGTTATGAGAAAAAAAAATTCTATCTTGAATAGAAAATGCAAGAACGAGAAGAGAAAACTAATAATGAAATTTCTGTTTTCTGTGGAAAAATGAAGTTTTAGAGTACAAATTTAGAATTTAATTTTTATATTTTCGTACTGCTAATTTAACCTTTCTAATTTTAAAACAAGAATACCTTCAAGTCAAACATTTCTGGATACAAATTGGCAGGGACTTAATGAGGTACTTCTCAGAAAAAAAACAAAAAAAAAACCTGATGTACTGTTCTAACTCATTATGAGTGGAGGTTGTGTGAGTTGTGTTTTTTTGTAAAAAATTAAAAATAGTTCAAAATTTTTAAAAGCTTATGGCTTGTTTTGGGTTTGATCCTTGGAACCCAGTTGTGCTGGGCCTGCTAAGACTTGCAAGTTAATCATTTTGGGTTGGGGGTGGAATATGGTACATCCGAAAGTACTTCTTTAATATATATATAGAGCTCGGAAAATTTTAAAAAATTATTATTTTTTGTACTTCTTCATCTCTTATCTTCTATTATAACTAATTTTTTTTTTATTTATTTGAATAGCCCGGATATCCTTAGACTTCGCCCCCATCTCTTATCTTTCATTACAACCAGTTTTTTTATTTATTTGAATAATCCAAATATCCTAGACTTCGCCCCATATTACAACTAATCTTCTTCCTCTTTTAATTGACACATTTTTAGTTGTTGATGTATATGACCAAACCACCAACCTGAGTTGTTTTGTTTGGAAAAAATTAAAAATAGTTCAAAAATTTTAAAAGCTTATGGCTGGTTTTGGGCTTGAATGATCCTTGGAACCCAGGTGTGCTAGGAATTGCAATTCTTTTGGGTAGGGGTGGACGGTTCACCTCACTGGCTCCCTAATAAAGTACTACTGAGAGTACTTCAAGGAAAATTTTCAAAATTTATTTTTTTTCGAACTTCTTTATCTCTTTACCTTCCATCACAATTATTATTATTATTATTATTTTAAAAATAATTGGTAAGAATTGCAAGTTAACCTTTTGGGTAGGGGACCTCACTGGCTCCCTAATAAGGTACTTCAAGGAAAATTTTCAAAATTTATTTTTTGTCAACTCCTGTATCTCTTTACTTTCAATCACAGCTAATCTCTCTCTTTTAACCCACACATTCCTAGGCAAGGGCGGATTTAATATATTCTGAAATGGGCTAATACTACTATATATATATATATATATATATTTTGGGCTGGGCTAAAATTAACTATAGTAAGTTTTATTTTATTATTTTTTTGGGGGGCTCAAGCCTACCACAACCTCCTCTTGCATCAGCCCTTGTTTCTAGGTGTCATGTATATAGCCAAACTACTTATATACTCTCTAAAATTTTCACCAATGGGTATTACCACACTATACTTAATTTTTATCTCACATTTTCATCGGTGATTCTCTCTCTTAATTACTCCACATATCAATCTTAACATTCTCATTTTCCTCATATGAAGATGTTGTTCCTCATATGAAGATGTTGATCTGTTTTCTTTTTTAAGGCCCAACACTATTTTTGTGTGTTATTATTATTATTTATTTATCATATAAAATCATACTAGTTTGTCTTCATTTTGTCCAACTCACTCCAATCCTATTAGTTATATCCTTATATATTTTTCCATCCTTTTGTATTATCGATCCTACATAGCAAAAGTGGTTGTATCGAGTAATTTCTTGGTGGCATTTCTTCATATTTCTAGTTTTATTGCTAAGTTCTCTTTACAGGTATCTAAGAGCACAATATCATCGGCAAACATCATGCACCATGGTATCTCGTTTTTGAATGTATTTGTTATGGGAAAATTAGATTTTAGTGACTAAATTTAAACAAAATTTATTAAGTGACCATAAAGCTAAGAAAATATGAATAGTAATCAAATAAAAAAGTTAAATGCCAATAAGGGACCATTATTAATTTATTCCTTAAATACCCTTCTAAAAAATAAAAGAACTGAATTGTTTGTCATTTCTTTTCTTCCCCCACAAACTAACTCTGGTACCACTTTGTTGGAAATGAATGGTCTATACACACACAAACACTCAGTAATTTGGAAGAGAAGTCGATGGAGGAACACTTGGAAATATTTTTATTCCATTTTAGTAAAACATATAGAGTACGTAAGCTTATATAAACTATACAACATACATGTAACAATCACATGTAAATGTAAATTAACTCCTACTAACATAACATTTAGTTGGCACAACTCTCACTAACATGACCATTAATAGTTGTAAGTCTCATGCCTCCCTCTAACACCGATTAAAAACTCTCATTAGCAAATTAACACACCAAATAAAAACACTCATTAACTTCAAAGACATTAAAACAAATAATCAAGTTTATTTTCTAACAACCTTGAATTGGTTTTCTCTGCCCTTTGATTGCAGTGTATTCATGTAGACGACAATCAAAAACTTAAAAATGTAATTCAAATCAACACTGTTCAAACATAAAGGGGGCATAAATTATGATAGCAGTGAGATTGCTCCATTGTAACTTCGAAATTATGAGTTCGAAACATGCATGTAGAAGTATGTAAAACTGCATCAATCTTACCATTAGCGTTAAAGGCTCTCTATGTGCTTCGGCCAGAACTTTGTTGGAGTTAGATTGGAGAATTGAGTCACGCTGTGAGTGCAGGTTGTAATTATTAGCTTTGAATTGAATAGACTAGTCACACCGCAGGAGTAGGATCAACCTACACTGTGAATTAGTTCTACCCCTTTTGTGATTAAACATCTCAGCCCTTTGTGATTTATTTCACAAAGAGTAATGCTCCTAAAAGGCTCTTCTCATGAGAAGAGCAATGCTCTCAAATTTAAAATAACTTTTTTTTTTTTTTTTTTTGCCTAAAAAGATGTTTTACAAGCCATGAGAAAGAAAAACCAAAAAGTGGCCATGACCATCCATCACTGTTTGGATGATGGAATGCTACAAAAGGTTGCTAATGCAGCAAATGCAAAACAACTATCAGAGATTCTTCAAAATTCATTCCAATGAGTTGATAAAGTGAAGAAGGTTCAACTCCAAACTTTACGAGGTGAATATGAAGCATTGCATATGAAGGAATTTGAATCAATTTCAGATTATTTTTTGAGGGTCCTTGCTATTGCAAATCAACTAAGGAGATATGGTGAAGCCACCATTACTGATACAAGGGTTATTGAAAAGATCTTTCGGTCATTGGATTCCAAATTCAACTACATTGTTGTAGCCATAGAAGAATCGAAGGATTTGATTCCATGACTGTTAATTAACTCATGGGTTTGTTGCAAGTTTATAAAGAAAGGGTGGTGAAGAAACAAGAGGCTTTGGAGCAAGTGTTACAAACAAAGCTTTCATTGAACGAAAGAGACGAAAAGTATAGAGGAAATAAAAGGGGCCGAAGATGTGGAAATGCATGTGGCCGAGGAAGAAAGAGACCGATAAAGAGGAGAAAGAAGCAATCACCACACAATCAACAAATGAAGAAAATAACCAGGACTCGCAACAAACAAGAGGTCGTGGTAGAGGCGACAACTCAAGGTCATATGGAAGGTGGTATAATAAGTCTCAAATTTAATGTTACAATTGTCAAAAGTATGATCATTATGCTTCGGAATGTAGAAATGTTGCTAACGTTGTTAAAGAAAAGGCTAATTACGTTGATGAAGAAGTGGAACCTACTTTTTTGTTGGCAGACAAAGGTAAAAGGGGTGAAGAAGACATGTGGTATTTTGATACCAATGCTAGCAACCATACAGGTGGTAACAAAGAAAAATTCGTTGATCTTGATGAATTAGTAAATGGGAAGGTGACATTTGGAGACTTGTCACAAATTTTGGTAAGAGGGAAAGGTAAAATGTTGATTCGTTTGAGGAATGGGTACCATCAATTTATTTATAATGTTTATTATATGCCTAATATGAAAAATAATATTTTGAGTTTATGACAACTCTTAGAAAAAGGCTACAATATTTTCATGAAGGATTGTAGTCTTTCGATAAGAGACCTATTGGGAAGTTTGATTGCCAAAGTTCCATTGACAAAGAATTGAATGATTTTGCTAAATATTCAAGCTGATGAGACTAAATGTTTGAGGGCTTGTTTTATGATTTAACTTGGCTTTGACACTTGAGACTTCGGCATTTGAATTTTGGAGGACTAAAGTTATTGGCCAAAAAGAAGATGGTGAAATGATTGCCTTTCATTAGTAATCTAAATCAATTATGTGAAGGATGTCTCGTTAGAAAGCAATTAAGGAAGAGTTTTCCTAAGGAAGCTACGACGAGAGCTACGAAGCCATTGCAACTTGTGCACTTGGATACCTAAACAAGCCTAAGTCAGCTAAGTCACAGTACTAAAACAAATGCCTAAGCTCACTAAAATAAAAGCCCAAACCAAATAAGCCCAAGCCTAATAGGCAGAACTGGTAGTCTGGTGTGAGAGTCGTGAGACCATTCGATGTGCGAGTGTGGCGGCAGATTTACACTGAAAGCCTGAAGCTGAAGACTACAAGGGCGTTTCTGGTCATTGCTCAGGAATCAGGACCTCAGGTATTTCATATCCACTATCCAGTTCCCAAATTTCACACAACTTTCAATAATTTTAATTATTTACATGAATATATACATACACTGATATATATCATAGTTGCCTGATATCAATGAATTATGAGGTGAAAATTTGTGAAATAATGCCCTATATATATTTTAAAACTCATAGATAAATGGTTAGAAAAAATTTTGTTCCAAAATTATTTTAATTTCTTTTTATTAGGCTTCGTTTTTATTAGTTACCCAAAATCCAAAATAATAGTGAACTATGTATTATATAGGAAACATAAATTCCCAGATTTTGATTTGCAATTTAAATTTATTTTAAATTCAAACAGGATTAGTATTTAAATTCAAATAGGATTAGTATATTATATAGGAAACATAGGATTGGGAATTTAGGATTAGGAAAACAGGCAGAAAGTTAGTTCTTCTTATACAACTATACAAGAGTTCTTATAAGTGTTTAATTGCACTGAATGTTGCATAATGTAGATTCAATTTTTTTATTAATGATTTTCTATGCCTTAATAAGTCAGGTGTCTAAAGAAACATTGTTAATTAACTAAAATTGAATTAAACAACAGTTGGTTTTGGTTGATATGTTTTGATTTAGGTATTTTTAATCTAACTCATTCTTTAATTTTATTAGGTTAAAACTAATTGTGTATGTCTATTCTCTCATTCTATCAAAAGAAAGTGAAAAGTGAAAAGTATGTCTATTCTCTCATTCTATCAAAAGAGAAGCCAAATAAGTGACGATGATCAATCGAAAAAGGATATACCTAGTGGTAGTGCATCTAACATTGGCGATGATCAATCGAAAAATGATATACCTAGTGATTTTGATTTGCATCTTCCTGCTCCACCTCAAGTTGTTGAACCCAAACAACTTCACTCCGCTTCTATTGAAAGAGATCCCAGGTTACATATTCAAATACATGAATACCCGGTGAATCAAAGAGATGGGGTTAGATGAGCTTATATCAATTTGAGGCTTTATCAACCTAAACTTTCCAATTATCCTAACTCTTGGAATGGAAAGCAGATTTGGCGATTTAAGTATGAATGGTTTAAATAATTTCCTTGGCTAGAGTATTCTCCTTCAAAAGATAAAGCATATTGTTTTCCATGCTTTCTCTTTGAAGAGAGAAATAATATGGCGGCGAGTCGTTCTTCACTTATTGATGGTGAATTTAACAGTTGGAAGAGAGTTAATGATAGAGATAATTGTGTATTCTTGAAACACATGGGACTTCAATCTTCACCACATACAAAATGTGCCATGCTTTATGGGAATTTTAAAAAATCGGCACAACATATTGATAAAATGTTGAATGCCCAATTAAGAGAAGAGGTTTTGAAGAATCGAATGCGGCTTTAGGCAACTATTGAAACCGTTCGCTTGCTAGCACTGCAAAGAATTGGTTTTAGAGGTCATGATGAAAGTTCAAGTTCATTAAATTAAGGGGATTTTATTGAATTGTTAAAGTGCTCAAGTGTTATCTTAGACAATGCTTCACAAAATGCCCAATACATTGCTTCATCGATTCAAAAAGAGATTCTTCATATTCTTACAAACATAGTGAGAAAAATGATTTGTGATGAAGTTGCGGGAGGCAAATATTGTATTCTTGTTGATGAAGCACAAGATGAGTTTAAAACGAAGCAAATGGCTCTGGTTTTAAGATATGTCAAGCATGACAGTTTGCTAATGGACATTTTTTTGGCTTGTGGGAGTTAAAAACACATCAGTAGTTACACTTAAGGATGTAATATCTGATATTCTTGTTTGGTTTGATCTTTCAATTCAAAATGTGAGAGGTTAAGGGTATGATGGTGCTAGTAATATGTGCGGTGAATGGAATGGACTACAATGATTATTTCTTAAAGATTGCCCATTTGCTTATTATGTCCATTGTTTTGCTCATCGATTACAACTAACATTAGTTGCAGTAGCAAAAGATGAGCCGAATATTTGACAATTCTTCTCTTACCTGACTTGTATTGTCAATCTTATTGCTTCCTCTCCCAAGCGTCTTGCTGAATTAAAATCTTTTCAAAGGGATGAGATTGCACGTATGTTAAGCACAGGTGAATGTGAATCTGGTAAAAAGGCTATCAGATTGACACCTTGCATTGAGCTAGAGCTACTTGTTGGAGCTCACATTATGATTTTGTGAAGGACTTGATTGATATGTATACTGCATCCTGCATAGTTGTTGAAAGTCTTAGAAAGGGTGGACAAAGTCAATAGATACGTGGGCAAGCTTTAGGTGTTTACAAGGCAATGAGAAGCTTTAAATTCATATTTATCTTACACCTAATGGATAGCATTATGGGATTCACTGACACACTTTGCCAGGCCTTGCAATGCAAATCTCAAGACATTCTAAATGCTTTGAAATTAGTCTCAACAACTAAAACTCTCCTTAAAATATTCAAACAAGATAATTGGGATATTTTCCTTGCCAATGTGGTGTCATTTTGCAATCGACATAACATTGATATACTTGATTTGTGTTCTTATTATGTAGAGGATATGGGTCATCATTGTCAGCAACAAGATCATATTACAGTTGAGCCCCATTATCACTTTGATATTTTTAACTCTGCAATAGATTTACATCTGATGGAGTTGGAACATAGATTCAACAATAAAGTAGTGGAACTTCTTACTCTTAGCTTAGCTTTGGATCCTAGTGATTCTTTTAAATCTTTTAACGTGGAAAAGATATGTAATCTTGCTGAGAAATTCTATCATTAGGACTTCACTGGTCAAGATGTTAAAACATTGAAGTTTCAGTTGATGCATTATCAACTTGATGTACCTAGTGATCCCGAGTTTCAGAATATTTCTTCTTTTACTGATTTATGTCGGGAACTAGTTGTAAGTAGGAAGATTAACTAGTACCCTTTGGTTTACACATTGATCCGTTTTGTGTTGACTATTCCTATTTCTACAACAACTACAGAGATAACATTTTTAGGCATGAGACGTGTTAAAATAGCAATACCTAGCAGGATTGGAGATGAGTTTCTTGCTGACTGCATGACCATCAATCTTGAATGGCAACTTGTTCGGAAAATTGACTTGGAGTCTATTATCGACGAATTCGAGTCTTTAAAGACTCGTCGAACACAACTTAAATAAATATTTTGTAATCTTTGAATTCATATATTTATCTATATTATGTTATAAAACTTTTTTTTTTCCTTAAGAAATTTGTTATTAAATTTATGTTGAATATTAGCCCACCCCATTGACAATTCCTGAATCTGCCTTTGCAAGTGGTTATGATATAAAGGCTCTTCGATTTGATATAGGTGGTGAATTTACATCAAATTATTTCAAAAAAATTTGTGAAGAAAATAGAATTCACCATCCTTTAACAGTTTCAAGATCGCTCCAACAAAATAGAGTTGCTGAAAAGAAGAACAAAACCATTCTCAATATGGCTCGAAGTAAGACACTACAAGAAGCATGGAGTGAAAGAAAGCCAAGTGTCTCTCATTTGTGGGTTTTTGGGAGCATTGCCCATGTGAATGTGTCGGATGAAAGGAGGACCAAGTTAGACAACAAAAATGAAAAATTGGTGTTCATTGGATTTAAGATCCAAAGGCTACAAATTGTATAATCCAAACAATGGGAAGTGTAATGACCCAAATTCGGTGGATTTGAGTCATTAACGGGTGGTACAACTCAACTGGGTCCTTACCTGAATCTGAGGACTCATTAAGGGGAAAATAGTTATTAAATATTATTCTGTTGATTAATTACCTTAATATGGTCACGTGGATCACTAAAAACATAGATAACATGAATTAAGGTTAAGTCTAGGGTCGAGGGTGCAAGTCCCAAAACTATACCAGGCATGGGCACTACGATCAATCGCAGGGCACTGTGCGATTGCTCGCACAATGTTTTACTCGCACCCGCATACGCGCAAGAGTTGCGCACGCGCGCGAGGGCTTGGTATGTTGTGATTGCTCACAAAATCCCAACTTTCTGTTGAATAGTAAAACGGGCCTCGAACTAAATTGCAATGTAGTGCGACGCTTGCAGGAATCTGAAAATTATTCATTGCCCTTCTTAAATGTGATATCCATTTTCAAACCAAACTTTGGTCAATTGGTTATGCAAAACCTTTCCCAACTCAAACAAGGGTAAATGAAGTACGCTATTATGCATCCATATGCTAGAATATGTGCAAAATAATTCATTTCCATTTGTATTTATGATGGCTCATTACATTTCCACATTCAAAATAATAATGTCATTGCATACATGCCCAAGGTATTATTGTCATTCAAAGGAAAAGGGTTACATGATTAAGACTACTATAACAAAATGGTAGAATCTTTACATCAAAATACAAGGTAGTTAACTATCATGATATATTCATCCTTTTACTCTAGTCTTGATACAAAGGATGGTCAAAGATAACAACATCAAAACTAAGGTTGTAGGGGTATATCATCAATCACCTCATTCCCGTGTCCTGAAAATATTAAATATAGGGGTGAGCGCACTTACTCAGTAGATAATGCCTAAATAGTATTGTAACAACCCGAACCCGGGGATCCGAATCGCTAACCGGGTCCTTATACGAATCCGTGGACACACTAAGGGTAAAATAATCATTTTACATTAAGTAGGGATAATTTGACTCTAATCTGGTCATATAAGGTTTATAAAATCCATCCTGATAATTCCATAACATTTTAAGAGGTTTTAAGGACATTAATCATGGTTTGTCCAAAAGTACCCCTGCTCGGTTCAAGAGAAATCCCGACACTGTATCACTAAAACACACATATCTCTAAGTATGATTAGAATCTAAATATAAAGTTGATAGCATTGGAAAGCTAACGAAAAATTGATTAACTTGGCCTCGAGAATGACCCCGTTTGAATTTAAAATGAATAAGTTATGGCTGTTCGAAGTCTGGCCAATCCAAGCAATTTTAAAAACTCAAAAAAATTCCAAGTCTGAAAAAATCCAATTGATCAGATTTGAAGTCCAATCGATAGGACCGAGAGCAGGTTTTTGTAGGAGTCTAAAAAAAAAAATATAAGTATGGGAATCCGATCAATTGGATTGATGTTCGATTGATCGGACTGAGAGCATAATGTTGCAGGTTTTTGGTTTTAAGGCCTTGAATGCATCCGGGCTCATTTATGAGCCTAAACCTATGTTAAACCTGTCCCAACTCACGATAAATATACTATAACCATCCAATAATCTTAAACATCAATATAAACATTAAAATAGTTCATTTCCCATTCAATTCAACCCAAAATGGCAACATGATGAATCATACATTAAGTGAGTTCGAATTACATTATTTTGAGTCCATAAACATAAGAATGGCCTAAGGTGCAATAGATTACAAAATGATACAGTTTAATTTCAAGTTTTACAAAACACACACCTTAATATAAAATGACAAAAAGGGAATCCTTTCTAATCCCGTCTATGCTTGTGGAGGAACGTCATCTGCCACTTCTTTCCCGTGACCTGAAAAATGGTTATAATTAGGGTGAGCACAACAGCTCACTAGGGTATACCTAAGGCATGACTCTTAAATTCCCGTGAATAAGCATATATAGAAAAGGGAAAGCAAGACAAAAGGGTAATGCTTTTACGGGGGAAATAACGAAATTGACAAAACATGGCATTAACAACTATATATATATATATACACACACACACACACACACATCAACACACTCATTTCCACACACACACAAGTCCATCACGAAACTAATAATGCAATCAATGCTTATGCCATGAATCCACCCCGAACCAATCCCATAATCTCATCCTACACACAATCGCTCATTTCCGACCAATCCATCTCGCTACATAAAACCACACTAGAGGCCTCTAACTCCAAATGGCACAAGTCTACCGCTTGTCCACCATTTGGAACACTGGCTAGCTATTCTTGGCGTGAGACCACCGCTCAAACAACCATTTGGGGCATAGCTACTGAAATCTTGGAAATAAGTTTACTACTTGTCTTCCGTCCATCACAAACCTTTCTTAACCCAAATTTCATCCATCTCACATCACCCTTTTGACTTACACATTCTCTACCCAAATGTATAGGCTAAAAATACTTCAATGGATACTCGCTTTCCAACTTAGAAATGACTAACTCCTAGCTAACATTATGAAATGAATATGCCATGCATTAACGTCAAAACCACATTATACAAACACGTTTCCACAATACAAAATTCAACAAGTTGCTTCACATAATCAATTTTCCAAAATATCAGACATGCTTATAATCAAGAAGACTTTATTCAAATCATACTAGACATGACATTTACCATTTTCTCAAGAATTATTGTTTAACACTTGATAAGTGCTCAAATGTTGCACATTTTAGCACCTAAGTTAGGATATTTTAGTCCATTTATCTATCTTACTTTCTCGTTTTGGTTCTAATTCTTGTTTTTGTTTATTTCAGGTCAATAAGGTTCAAATGGGCTAAAAATAGCCTATTAAGCCATTTTTGGAGTCAAGAAGAAATTCAAGAAAAAGTTTAAAAAATTGCCCTGGAGCAGTGTCAATCGATCGCGGGCCACGCGATCCATCGTAGCCACCTCATCATTCGCTCCAAGTGGCGATCGATCGTAGACATTGGCGATCCTTCGCAGTGCCACGTCAGCGCCAGCTAAGAGGATAAGGTTATCAGTTGTCAAGCTAAGCATGCCACGTCATCCATATTCGATCGCCGAGGTTGGTGATCTATCGAAGAGCCTTGGCGATCGATCGCCATCCTACTGGCAGTGAGCTGTTTAATTCCCGAGCTCGCCTGAATTCTATCTACCAAAGGGGCTGCGAGATTAGACTAATTATAAGGCCATTTTCTAACTTGTTCACCACACAGAAGAGCTTGTATTTAAATGAAATTGAACCATTTTGTATAGGTTAGCTAGTTTTTACAATTAAATCATTTTTAGACATAGAAATTCTCTCTCTTGAATTAGGGGTTCTTGAGTAAGAAAAGAGGAAGATCACCATCATCCTTAGCATTTCTACCAAGAAGACCAGAGGAAGAAGATGGAGCTAAGCTTGAAGATAACCCTTGAGGGTTGTAAGATCACATCCATGAGTGGCTGAATCATCCTCTTAGGGTTTAGATGAATCCTAGGCTTGCTCTCTAAGCTCTTGATCTTTGTCATTTTGGGGGAATTCTTGTTGTAATGAATGTTATAGCCTTGTAATATATGGATCTTGGTTTTTCACATGATTATATCTATGGTTCAATTCTTTCAAACAATTCTTTAGATTGGTTGTATGTCTATGTGTAATTTCTTAAAAATTAAAGATGACTATGCATGGATTTCACTAGATGCATTTGTTGACCAATTTGATGGATTATTCTTATCCTTGATGGATTGCACTACATTCTTAATTTAATTGCTTTAAATTCATTGTCTAAGTGTAATTGCCTTTTAATTCCTAGTTAGGTAGTCAATCATGCTTGAATTTGATAATCCATGGCTTATTATTGCAAATTGCATTACTCTCTAGATTGATGTGTGCTACAATTGTGAGTTAAGTTGATGGTATATGCTTGAATTTGATGAATTATACTACACATGTTAATCATGGTTGTAGTTAAGTAGGTAATTTATGTTTGTTTTTGATATCCACACTCCTTATCACAATTAGTTGCACACACTTGGGTTATAACATGATCTTTCCCCCTAATTTGACAAGCACTTGTGGTTTAGAGACAAGCTTAGTTATGAATCCTATGCCCTAGGACCTCTCTCCTATTCTCTACACCCTAATCTTTTAGTTTAAATTGCTTTGCATGATTTTAAATTCAAATTGTAGTTTAAAACAAACTAAACCAACTCTCTTTACAATCTCACTAGTACTAGAGTTCGATTCAATTCCAATGCGTGTTCAATCTCTTGGGAGGATTCCTACTCCTATGCTACATTAGTAATAGTAGTAGTGGCTTTATAAATTTAAATTTGACTAAAAAGGCTTCTTATACCACACTCGCAATTTAACCTTGTGAAGCGACCTCTCACATGTTTCTCTCACTTGATTGAGGGCATTGTCAAATTTTGGCACCGTTGCCGGGGATTGACAGATTAATTGGAATTGAATTAAGCATTAGTGCTTCTTTGATTGTTTGTCTTACATTTCATTTTTATTTTTCCTACTTGTTACTCTTATCAATTAGGTACTTGAATACAAGAATAGCAAGCTTGGGATTCCGACGTTGTTCTTGGGACCTGTGTGAGCTATTCTTGAAACTCTTGTAGCTTAATTGTTCATTGCTTATTGCTAGAGAAGTAGTCCTTGTCGAGGTTAATTGCATTATTTAATTTCTCGTCCAAGCATGAGCCCTTGTCGTGGCTATTACTTTAATGTTTAAAGCATGGGTCCTTGTCATGGCCACTTATTTTAAATGTTGAAAGCATATGAGTATGTGAACATTGTATGTGGCGGTTTATTGATTAATTATTGATTTTGTTGTGGAGGAGAAGTTGTTGATTTTTGTTAGTGTGTTGACTAATTCTTGTGCAATTCTTTCCACTCTTCATCATCACCACTCTAATGGAAAACCAAAATGTGAATCTAGGGTATCTAGACCACAAT